GCGGGCCGTGAGGGGAATCGGACAGCGCACGCGACGAGCCTGCGGCGGGGTTGTTAGCGCTCAAGTGTCCATTCTCCCTCTCTGACACTGGGCTGCTCTCCTGCTGAGGGTCCCTGCCAGGCCGCCTCTCTGCTTCCTGGCCGCGTACATGGAAAGGAGACAAAACAGTCACCATCCTTTGACAGAACCGAACCTGTCCCTCACGCCACGACAGAAAACACGAGATCGGGATGGGTACCTCGTCACCCTGTCAGGTCTCTGGCAGCACCTAAGACGTGAAAACAGTAAAAAGCACTCAAGCTCGCCCGCTCACCCCACCGGACATGCTTCAGGTGGGTCCCGTTGGGAAGTGTTGGAGCTGAGTCTTGTTTTCTCCTCACTGGAGTGGGGTTGAGGGTGGTCAGGGCGTCACTGGAGACCCGATGCCAGAGTTCTGTGTTCCAAGGTGGCTTGGGATGCAGACGCAGAGACTCCAACCCCACCCTGAAATAGAGGTGCTGCAGGGCTCCGGGGCGAAGAGGCGCAGGGGAGAGGGCTGGTCGGCCTGCCTGCCGCTGACCTGCTCCCGCAGGAGATGGCCAGCTGGAGAGCTATTCTTTCTTCCTCCTGACACAGCCTGAGAGGAGTGTCACTTGACCTCGAGGCACATTCCAGAATGAGGCCACTGCCAAAAATAGGGCCCAGGAGCCTTGACACCTCTCCTGCCTATATTAATCACACATTCCTAGAGCCGGAGGAAGACTTCAGACGCCTTGGGGAGGTGGGAGGAGACGCAATCAGGAAATGGAGCTGGGAAAAAGGAGGGAAAGCCCCCGAGAAGCCCCTTCACAGCCTCGTGGCTGAGAAGCAGGCTCTTGGTCCCAGAACCTTCAATCAATCCGTCATGAGCTCTGTGAGCTGGGCCCATGGACCTCTTGGAGCCCTTTAGCAATGACGCGGGCTTGGTTGGGGTCCGCGTAAACACCAAGGGAGACCAAGGCTTGTAGAAGAATATCTACAGAGCATGGGCAACAGGGGAGGCTCCCCCAAGAAGCTGAGTCTTGAATGATGAGTAGGCATAAGGCTGATGTCTTGCTCAGGAATCTAGGCCAGGACTGCTTATGTGTGTGATAGAAATACCATGTTATGTGGCAAGGTTGTGAGACAGCCCCGGGGCACGGTGTGCGCGGCTAATAGGAGGCAGGCTCTTTAGAGATCTTTGGGGTCCTCATGAGATTCCACACTGCCCAGCGCAGTGTGTGTGTGTGTGTGAGAGAGAGAGAGAGAGAGAGAGAAAGAGAGAGAGAGGGAGAGACATGCTGGGAGAGATAATGTAACATGAGCATTAAGAAGTCTGAAGTCAGGCTGCCTAGGTTCAGATCTTGGTTCTGCCACTTAGCAGTTGGGTGACCTTGGGCAGGTTTCTTATCCCCTCGCCTCAGCTGTCCCACCTACAAAATAGCACCCTGTCTCATACCATTGTGTGATGGAGCTGGCAAGACATGATGTCCAGTGCCTGTCCCATAGTAAGTGTCCATCCGTGTTGATGTTGTCAGAGGACAGTTGGACACAGGGCGTTCTCCCAGCCGAAGGAAATCACCACGTGGCTATGTATTTATTCCATCCCTTCCCTCATCAGTTTCCGCCCCTGGTCCCTGCTCTCTGGCCCCACTGTCCAGGGGGTGACATCAGACTATGGAGCAGCTGGCCAGACAATGGAGCAAAGTGTCCTAGGAGGCTGGGAGAGGCAGAGGGTGGAAAAAGCCAAGCTGTCCTGCCCCAGAGGCTTTGGGGCTGGACTGGAGACAGCGGCGCCAGACCAGGCCCCCAAGGAGGCAAACAGGGAGATGGTCTGGAACAGGGCGGTGGGGAGGCGGGGGCAGGGCGGACATCAGATGCAAGGAAGGGAGGGGTGGGTGTCCAGTGCAGACAGGAAAGCGGTGAGTCTGGCCTTGGACCTGAAGGAGGGCTCAATCCCCATGTGTCCTGGGAGCCCAGCCTGGGGCCAGTCACCCAGACTGGTGGGATGGCCTCCCCAGGTCCCGGGACAGCCAGGCCCTGGGAGTCCAGCTCGGTTTTCCTGCACACCTGCTTGATGCCGGCTACTGCGTCGGATTGGGCCTCGCCAGCAGAGGGCAGAGACTCAGGCTTAGTTTCAAGGACAGAAAAACCAGGGCCACGCAGTGGGTCCCAAGTTATATTAGATTCTAAATCACACATTCCCTAAATGCCCACATTTTCTGAATCCCGAATCAGCCAGCGTGGAGTGGCCAGTTTGGCATACTCTGTGAGCAGCGAGTAAAGCAGTTGAAGCTGTGTGGTCACTGAACTTGTGGAACGTGAAGCCCTGAAGGAGAGGGGGACACTGCAGACCCTGGGGCCCTGCTCTTGGCTGGGCAGCCACGGAGGGCCCACGCAGCTGCCTGCGCCAGGCTCCATTTCCTACGCTTTCCCATTTGACAAGGTGAAAGGGTCGAGCCCCCCAAGCCTCTACAACAAGCCCTTACTACGCATTGTTTTGCATCTGAGGAAACTGAGGCTCAGAGAGACCAAGAATAAGTGTCAGAGCCCAGAATCAGATGGGGGGTGGAGTGTATAGCCATACTCCCCTGAAGGCGCCTGATCTTGTCAGATGATGGGCGAGGGTGGGGGTCTGACTCCACAGGCTGGGCTTTCTCACTCTGCCAGGCTGGGCTTGGAGAGCCGCGGGGACCTTCGTGTGGGGCTGTTGGTGGGCAGTGAACTGGCGAGAGGGAGCCCTGAGATCAGACTCCCCCGAAACTCACGCCTCCCCCAGGCAGCCGCAGGCTCAGGCCCTCGGCTGTGCAGGTGTGGGGAAGAGGCAGGGGGTGACAAGTGCTGGCAAGTGGACATTTCCTGCCTCAGACTCCATGGTAATGTGCTATTTACTGGGGCACCTCAGCCTAGAAGCACATGCAACAGAGTGTCTCCAAGCCTCTGAGGGTGAGTGAGGAGAGGAGTCCTCCCCTCCCTCGTCTGGACCTGAGCAGGGCGCGGCCTGTGGCTGGCGCTCACACCTTCTTGGGATCTAAATTTTATGCTCGGCGTTTCCCAAAGGCGAGGGGAAGTTCCTGTTCCTCTGGGCCCTCTTCTGTCTCAGGAAGCAGCTTACCTTCTCTGCCCCGGCCCCTCCTTATTGCAGGGAATTATCTCTAAGGAGGGCTGGGCTGGGCTGCACGGGGCCTGGATTCCTCTTCAGGGCTGTGGCCCAGGAAGACCCAGGGTCGTGGACAGGGGATAGGTGTGTCTTGTGCTTAGCTGGCTCCCCACCTCAGGGACGGACAAGCTGTGGGGGGTGCCGTGGCTGTGGGCTCCTGAACATACCTCCAGGGCAAGGGAGCAGCCGCAAGCAGCTGAGACCAAAGGCGCTGCTATCCCCATTCTAGAAACCGAGCCACACACTCTGAGCACACCTAGGGCTTTGGGGCCGGGCCTCCCCCGGAGGTTCCCTAGGGAGTCCCAGCTGGGCAGCCCGCCCCTCCCCACCCCATTTCTGTTTCCTCCGCCTGCCTCTGATCCACTGTGCTGTCCTGATGGGGTGAGGGACTGCCACCCCGGGCTTGAGCCCCACGCCCTCCTGCCTCTGTGTTCAGAAAGCCGCCTGGCCCCAGTGCCTCATCCACAGAACACCGCGGTGGAGGAGCCTCGGAGCTACAAGCAGGCTGACGTTGGCGGTGTCTCTCCATCACCCAGATGTGATCCCATCGGCCAGACTGCCCTCCTGCACAGTCACCAAAGCAAATGATACCGCCTTCTTCCCCCCTGCCACACACACGCAATTAGCTCAAATGAATCACACAAGAAGGCCTGTTGATACTAGTAGCTTTTAATTGGTATCTTCCTCCCTACATCTGAAGAAGAAACAAGAATGCCCCACAATGACCTTCTTTGGAGGGGCCTGGGCAGAATGAAGGGCTGAGGAGGGAGTAGGGGGCAGTGGTAGAGCTCACAGTGGGTTTTCCGAATCCTCTATCTAGTGGTGGGTGGCTGGATCTGCACAGGAAGTCTGAAAACAAAAATCACCGACAGGCTGCCTCATCCCTAAACCTGCCACCCCAGGCCTCACCCAGAGCCTCCCTCCAGGTGCCCGCGGCTCCCGAGGCCACCACCAGAGGGGAGCATCGAGCAGCATTCCTTCCCTCCCCTTCCCTTCCCTGCCGGCCCCTCCTCCCTCCTCCCGCCCTTCCCATTCCTTCCCCAGCCCCCTTCTCTGCCTGCTTTGCCTCTTCCTTTCTTTCTCTTCCTACCAAAACAGATCCTGGGGCTTCCATCTGCTTTCTGTCCAAGGAAGCCAGTGACAGATAAAAGCATACTGACTGTCAACCCGGGACCATTGGACGACTGGGAGGGCCAGCCAAGGGTCTGCTGCTGCGGGAACCCCTGGACCTGGACACTTGTGTTCAGTCACTATGAGCTGGGCGGTGACTGACAGCTCTCTGTGGTCCTAGCACCTGCACCCGGTAAATGTTCAGCAAATGTCTGTTGAGTTGGACTGAAGAGAACGGAATTAATAAATCAACAATCAACAAACCAATCAATAAAGTCAAGGAGATGAAACATGAGAAACAGGTATCCTGCTGATGGCCTCAGAGACCGCAGAGCCAACGTGATCGAAGTGCAGGCTGACGGCCACCCAAGGGCGCCTGTTGAGAAGCCTGCGCGGAGCGCAAGTCGTGTGCTGGGCTGGACCGTGCCCCCTGCTCCCCACTTCCCACGACTCCCGACATGCAGTGGTCTCGGGGGCTGTGGGGAGTTTGTCCCATGAGTCCCTGGACCCTCCTTTCTCTCCCCACCTACCCCTTTTGCAAACCAGTTCATTCCATGTTTCCCGTGCCCACCATGCAGCCGCCATCTCTAGATCCCTGGCTGGGAGGCTGGCTGGCGCTGGGGTGGCTGGGGTGGGAGAGGGGGTGGCCGGTAAGGGGGGGGCAATAGCGCCCAAGCAGATTGGTCATCGGGAAGAATTTGCAAGTGTCTATTGACTTCTTTTGTCTCCCTCAGCTAGAAAGGATATGAACCCCTTATCGAACCCAAAGAATAGAAGTTGATGTAAGACTCTCCGATCAATATTCCTCTGCTGGCCTAAGACTGTCGAATGTGACCTTGCCCGGTTTGCTGGGAGGCGTCAGGGTGGATAGGTGGGAGAGGACTAGGCAGGGGTCAGGGGAGGAGGCGCTTCAGTGTGAGCCCAGGAACTCCTTGAGGACATCGCAGGTCTTCTTGTGCACGACCTCGCGCAGCTTCCTGACCCGCCGGGTGCTGGATGCACCCACGAAGCTATCAGGCCTCAGCATGGCCATGCCACCATCTACCTCCCCCATGATGATGAGCGGCGTCTCGCCCACTGTCACGTTGGGGCAGGGGCAGGTCCAGTCCACGTGGAGCAGAGTGACCTCCAGCGGCTCCCGGCCCAGGAACTTGAGGCCCATCTTCTCATCCTTCAGGACCTCGTCCACGGTTACCAGGGCACGACCCGAGTCGGGCTCCTCGGTCAGCTCGGAGACTCGGCCCAAGATGACAAAGTCGCTCCGGCAGAAGCTGGTCACGAGCTTCTGCCTGGGTTTGCAGGCCTGGCAGCGCTGGTTCCCCCAAGGGAAGGGGCAGGACTCCTCGCAGGCCTCCCGGCTCTCAAAGTTGTTGCCGTTGCCCTCGCAGCCGCCGTAGACGAAGGACTGGCACTGGCCTGTCTGGCTGTTATAGGCCCAGCGCGGTGCATAAGCCTTGCAGGGCCCCTGCAGGGCGGGCAGGCTGCACACGGCCAGCGGCCCGCTCATGCAGGCCAGCATGCAGGCCTCGTAGGTCTCAAAGTGGTTGCGGTTGCGGTGGCAATGGCCAAAGGTGAAGGTGAGGCAGTTGTTGGCCTGGGCATCAAAGTGCCAGCGGGTCTGCTCCTCGCCACAGTCCTCACTGTCAGGGGGCTTCAGGCACTCGGCTGCGGGGAAAGCCGTGCCGTTGGGGCTGCTCTCCACGGTGGCTGCGGCCTGGCCCCCCCTGACCACCGACAGGGGGAAGTCAGCGCGCAGGACGCCAGCCGCGTTCCGCGCTGTGCAGGTATAGATGCCGGCGTCCTGGAGCTGAGCATTATAAATGACCAGCTGGGCAATGTTGGTGACCACGACGTTGCCACGCACATGGTTGGGCCTCATGACCACGTTCTCCCGGTCCTCCAGCTGCTTCTCCCAGGTGATGTCGGGCCGCGGCCGGCCCACCACCTCACAGAGGAAGCTCACTGTCTCCCCCACGGTGACCGACTGGTGCACAGGGTGGTTGAGCAGAGCCGGGGCCGCCACGTCCAGCCCAGGCGTCTCTGGGGAAGCTGTGGTGGGATGCGCGGTGGTCTCCGGCGGCGGGGGGCTGGTGTTGGGCCAGGTAAAGTGGTAGCGGCAGGTGACAACCACCAGCGTGATGCCCTTGGAGCAGGCCTCAGCGTCCATGTAGCAGCGGTTATAGTAGGTGAGGCCGTCCGAGGCGCAGGTGAAACTGGGCTCCTTCTCACAGCGATCCTTGCACTTACACACGGGCTGGCCGTCCCAGATGTCACACTCGGAGCCCTGCTGCAGACACATGAAGTGGTCGCACGTGGCCTCCTTGGGCATGCCCACCGGGCCCTTCTTTCCTTTCACGTCCATGTAGCGGGCTGCCACACAGCTCTTGGTCCCACACACGTTGGGGCAGCACTTCTCATAGGTCTCACACTCCTGCAGAGAGCCAAACCGAGAGGCCTGAACAAGGAGCAGGAGGAGCGCGCCGGCTCCCCGCACCCTGCCGCGTGGTGCCTGTGGAACTGTGGGAAATGATACGTGCTCATCTATCGTGAGCAAAACGTTTTGATAATAACAACTAATGGGCACAAAGCACCTACGATTTTTTTCTAGGCCCTCTCCTAAGAACATTTACATTAGTCCACTTAGTTAATGCTCATCACAAGCCTCTGAGGTGGATACACTGTGAGCCTCACTTCACAGGTGATGATAACTGAAGCACAGAGAGACCAGGTAACTTGCCCAAGGTCGCAGAGCCAGGAGTGCGAGAAGAGGCCAGCCACATCCCTCCCAGAGGGGAATTTTTCTTCCTATGATATTACAGACGAGAATGCAGAGCCTCGGAGAGAGGGCGTCAGGTGCCCGGGGCTGGGACATGGTAGGAAAGGGCTTCCAGCTCCGGGTGGAAGGAATTCACCCGGATGGAATAAAAGGAGGGTGTTTTCTTCTACATCACACATATCGTGTAGAGAGCACAGATGAGGCCTGCGTAGGAACAAATGCCTTTTTGTCTTTTTTCCATTGGGTGAGGGTGCCCTGGCCAAACTGAAGAGGCCACACCAAACGCTGAGAAGGAAAAGTGGGACACTGCCGGGACAGGTGTTTGAGGTCGTCACTGCCCGTGGCTCCGATGAGGGCCCACACCCGCCCAAAGCCGAGAGGAAGGGCAGGCGGGACAGGCCCCGGAGGCCAGGCCCGACGCCACAGGCGGCACCAGGCCCTGGTACCTGCTTTCCAATGCGGGGGCCATTTCGTGGGGAAATCAACAAGGTAAAAAGTCCCCTTGGGTGGCAAAGGTCAGCAAGGCCGTCAGAGGACTTACAGGCTGCAGTTCCCTCTGATTCTCTGTGGGGCCCCGTGGGGCATTAGTTTAATTCCTCGAAATAAGCAGCATGCTCAGGGCCAACACAAACAAAACTTTGACGCGGTGTTTTCGATAATAACACCCCATACCCACTGGGCTGGCGGGCACCACTCCTAATCCCTCGCCCTGGTAGTAGCTCTGCGAGTTACTCCCCACTAGGATCGGCCTCTTGCAGTTCCGACTTTTCTTTCTGCCTCTGACATTCCACATCAGCTAAGAGGGGGAATGATCCCCCACCCGGGTGTGCGGAGCCTGCCTGCCCGACTTGTTTACTGTTTTTCCCTCTCAGCTCAGAATGGGGACTTTGTTTTGCAGCCCTCGCTTGGCATAAGCTTCTTCTAGGCCTCACCAGGGGAGGCTTTGGACTGGGGTGGGCAGATCTCAGAGCTGGGGTCTGAGCAAGGAAGACCCAGTGGAGGACTGAGCGCAGGAGGGGAACAGGGAGCAGGCAGGAGAACCTGCTCCTTGGCCAGAGGGTCATTCCAGTCTCAAAGAGACTCTGGCTCCGGAAGCTCCTCAGGACTCAGAGGTCCATGGAAGTCTGGACCCTCAGGGACCATGGGGAGAATATTTTGGGGCACAAGAAACCCCTGGGGATTCTTAGAACAGTTTTCCTTAAGGGCCCAGAATGGACCTATAGGCTGCCTGCATCTCCAGCTCCGCACAGGTGTCTTCCGCCCAAGGCACGCAAGCTCAGCTGGTGTCTGTCCCCAAGCCCCACGTTGTGGGTCAGGCCCATGAAACAGGCTTCCCTGCAAATGTAGTCAACTAACGGCGCAGCCTCAGGGGGATGGGAAGCTCCACCACCCCTCCCCACTCCTGGACTTCCTGTCCCTAGCGCCACCCCTGCTCACCGGCAGCGTCTGGCCGAGAAGCCTGAGAGGTGGCCCCCGGACCCTGAGCGGCAGAGGCCACGCTTTCCACGGTGATCCCCTGCTCTCCTGTAGGTTACATGAGTTTGGCAGAGGGAGCATCAGGGTCTCGCATGCCCCCTGGTGACATCCGGCCCAGCCCCGAGCCCCAGGAGCTGTCCAGGCTGGCAGGCAGTGCCTCTGCCCAGGCAGGTGCTGGGGGCCAGCAGGCTTTTCACTGCTGGGGAGAGAGGCAGGAATGACCCTGGCACCCAGGAGCCGGGAGGGAATCGCCTGGGACCCGTCGCCCTGTGTGCTGCTCTGATGAGGGCGGACGGGGTAGGGGGGTGGGGGGAGGGGGACCGAGAACCCTGACAGGTCGAAACCCAGTCCGCTCCCCACCCCGAGGACGCCGCGGAGCCTGTGCGGAGCTGCTCCTGTCCACCCTCCTTGCTATCCCGGTCTGCTCTCAGTGTCGGTGTCTAAGCCCCTTGGGCGACGACCTGGAGGCTGGGTGAAGCCTCAGCCGTGTTGTCAGACCGCGGGGGTCCTGAGCGGCTCCTCTCACCTGTCAATGGGCTGGTCCAGAGCAGCCCTCAGCAAACGTGAGACCAGGAAGTCAAGGCTTCTCAGTCCCTGATGAACTGGAACACCACACTCATCTCTTTTTCGGGGCCTCGGAGTTAGACAGACAGCCCGTCCTGCTTACCTCCGTGTGGCCCGGGGCCTGAGTTCCTGCACGGTCCTGGGGGCTGCCCCCACCCCACGGCTCCCCCCCGCCCCAGTAACACACCCGTGTGGTCCGTCTCAGGCTCCCGGGCTCCCACTCACCTGGTCCGTCTCACACTCCCGCTTGCAGGTGCTCTGGGCATCCACCCAGAGGTTGGGGTTCATGTCGTTGGGGCAGATGCCAGCATGGGAATAGCGGATGGGCGGCAGTGCGAGGCCTCTCGGGGGCACCTTGAGCAGCAGCAGCAGCACTGCCACCTGCCCCCAGCGGCACCGGAATTGGTGGCACCCCAGGGCCCACATGGTGCGGTCTGCAGCGGACAGAGGTCTGCCGTGCGACGCTGCCAGGGGCCGGGACCCACCAGCGCCTCCTCCTTCTCGGGGGCTGCAGGCACCTGCCCTCACCCCCCAGCGGGCTTCCCTGCTGCTGGTGGTAGGGCCGCGGCTGCCTCCACCAAGTCAGTGGAGCCCGCTGGGCTGTGCGGCTTCAGAGAAAAGAAAGGCTCTGCGAGGGGATCCCCTCTCCTGAGTGTGCAGGGAGAGGAGCCCCCGCCGGGGCCCGGCCTGGATTTATATCCTGGGCACCACCCGAGTGGGAGCGAGCTAACCTGATGCCTGTCACAGGCAGCCTGCTGGCTCCTCTGTCCCGTGGCTGATCACAGACTTGTTGCAGAAGGGGGAAAAAAAAAGCTGGAAGCAGTTTAGGCGGCGTATCTGGCACGGTGGGACACCTGCTTGTTTTTGACTCCAGGAGGCCTTTAACCCCTTCAAGGGCCAGAAATGGCATGTGCTTTGGGGGGAGCTGGCTCCAGGACACGCAAGCTCACTGTAAAGGAGCGGTTTGTTTCCCTTTCTTCCCCCACCTCCCCTGCCGGGCCCCCCTCCCCGTGGCCACCTCTGAAGAACACACAATCGCTTGTTACAAGGAGGGACCTGCCGCCGCTGGGTTAGCATCGCCGGGCCCGATAGTACATTTGAGAGCAAATGACGTGGAAAAACAACAAGTTCACGGCCGTTCCGGGGCGGGCCTGAGCAGCGGCTGTGTGCTGTAAGCCGACTCCCACCCCTGCACCCGGTCCCTTTGTGGGGGGTGTGCGCACCAACAGCTCTCTATCTCTCTGTCCGGGGCAGTTTGTGTCTTAAGTTCCAGCTCTGGTGAATTTTCCCCAAATCATTCCAGCCCTGCATACCCGATATGCTCCAGCTCCCCGGCTGCCGGGACAGATCACATTCCTCGCTCCTCCACTGACACGCTCGTGGCTCCAGGAAAACCTGCGCGTCTCAGGAGGGCGCTGGGCAGCCGAGCGGCCCCTGCTGTGGCTGGATGGTTGCGTTCAGTGAGCTTTTTGGGGACACCAGGCACTTTTCAGTTGTCCTGTCTCTCCCTGCTTTACAAAGGAGAAGGCTCACGGCTGGAGGGAGCGAGGGACTTGCCCAAGGTCACCCGCGGTCAGCAGGGACAGCGACACTAATTCCTTGCATTTACCGGGCTCTCCGTTCCCGGCATCTCGTTTAATCCTCACAACATACTGTGCCTTCGTTTTAGAGTTGAAGAAAGGACGCACAGAGAAGCGAAACAACTCACCAGGGTCGCAGGGCTAGGTGACTCCACCATTAACGTGGGAAATGGGGACACCAACGTGCTGGGGGGCGGGCAGGGACTTCTGGAAACCACTTCTCCCATCCCCATCGGTCAGAACTGCTGTCGAGGTGCATCCCAAGCTCTGCTTTTTACAGGCTGGACAAGACATTTGTGAAACACCAGGGGCTGTGTTTGTGGAGGGGGTTGGGAACAGAGCCAGAGGCTGCTGGGGGTGGGGGCGATTTTCTCCTCTTTGGCAGGAAATGTCTCCAATCTAAAATACCACCGTAAAGGGGGCACGCTGAGTGTTTCTGACCTGGAGACTTGATCCCCAGTGGATGAGAGATGCGTAGACAGATCCCTGGGAGAGAGAGGCGCCTTTTCAAGGTCAAACCGTAAAGGACTTGAGGAACAGAACCTGAGTTGCTGGGTCCCAAGGAGGGTGGATGGGGTGGGCACAGCCCACGTCAGAGCCTGAGGGGCCTGCACGGTCCCCAGCTGTGCCCTCGTTTTACAGATGGGGAGGCTGAGTCCTGAACCCGGGCCCTTCCTTTCCCAGGTCCGCCGTCCCCACAGCGGCAGTTCACCGCCCAACTCGACTATGAAAAGGCAGCAGGACACTGTCTCTGGCCTGCAGACCGTTGGCCTTGCTCGCAGGGTGGCCTCCTCCACACCTGAGCCAATTCCTTCCCGCTGTGTGGGTCATTCTGCAAGATCTGTCTTTCTTGCTTACGTCAAAGAGTTAATGAAGGGTGTCAGACCCTAATCCTCTAAATTACTGGAATAAACTTCCCTCCAAGGCCAGTCCCAGTAATGAAGCCAGACAGCGGGCGATGCCGGCTGCTTTGAATCCCCTGTAATTTCATAAACCCGTGTTGCAGCTGCTCCGAGTGGAGCCTCCGCGCACGCCTGACGAACGCGCTTTGTGCAGCCTCCTTTGACGTCACAAAAGGAAATGAACGGTGACACATTTCGAAGCAGGACTTAGAAACATTGTCACAGCCCCATTACGTGAGGACAGGCCTCCGGGGAGAAAAGGCTGATTTCCGGGGAGTCGCTTGAGCGCCCTGTGGGAGGTGCAGGGAGAAGAAGGAGGGACACAGGGCAGAGGGGGAAGGGAGGGGGCAGGCAGCAAAGCAGGGACAGCTGCCCCGCTTGCCTGCCGCTCCAGGTCGGTGGAGAAAGCCCTCGCCCGGCTCAGTCCTGCCCGGAGCCATGACCTCTCCATCCCAGGGCCCCACGCCTGGCCATTCTGCTTTGAAAACTCAAAGCAGCAGTGGGGAGGCAGGAGCCCTAGAACTCTCCAGCTCTCCCTCTCAGCGCTTCCAAGTCTCCCACCAAAACACAGCGCAGAATAATAAATAACATCTGATCAGGGCTCGGAGCCCACACAGCGTTTTCACCGTTTTCACCGACATCATCCCCGCTGACCCTCACGCCGGCCCGGGAGGGAGCCCTGGAGAGGTTGCTGGGAGCTCCGGTGCACCAGAAGAAACCGAGTCCCAGGGAGGTGAGCTGGGCCTGCCAGGATCCCCGGGCTCACGGCCTCCTCTCCCAGACCCTGTCCTGCGCTCTTTACACACCCCGTGCAAACTTCCAGCCCCTCCAGAAAGGCCCCCGCTGGCCCCCTGCCAGCCCTGCCTGTTTATAAGCTGTTCTGGAGGCGCTTTGAAGTCTCCTCCTCCGGGGCCCCTCCTTCCCCCAGTCCCCTGGACTGGGCTCTGTCTGCTTCTGTCTCCCTCAAACCCTTCTCTGGTGGGTGGCATGGACCCCACCCTCACCAACCCTCTGGAACCAAACGAGGGTTCAGCTGCCCACACTCACCATCCACCCGGCTACCCCTACCCCCAGAGCCGGTCTCTGGGGAGTGGAGCCTGGGCTGGGTGGGCCTGACCTTGGACTGTCCCCTGCCTTTCATCCTCCCCAAAGACACTGGGCACAGCGGGGCCAGGAGGAGGGCTGGGCTCTGACTTCATCTCAGAGGAGCCTCCAGCCCACACTGCTGTTGAAAGGCGCAGGGTGGGGTGGACCACAGACCCTTCACGCCCTCCAGGGTGGCTTCAAGGCCTAGTTCAGGTGCAGCAGACAGGGAGTCACCCTGGACAATGAACTCTGGGTGACCCTTGACCTTAGGTTCACACTTACTATAACAATGCCTGAGCCCCTAGGGCCTTGACGGGACAACAGAGCTGACACCATTTCCCAAATTGGCCAGGCCTCCCTCCTCCGGAGGCCTCAGCCCCGTGCGGCGGTGGGGACGCCAAGAGACCCGTGGGGACGCCATGCCCGCGTCTCACGTGTCATGTTACCCATCCACAGCCCAAACCTCCTACCTCTGGAAGCATCTCCTCCCTCCTTTCCTACTTGGTGTTTTGGAAAGCACCTACTATGTGCTAAGTTCTGGGTACATAGAGATAGATGCAGTCCTTGTCCACAGGGAGGGCACAGTCTTGGCCACAGAAGTATGACAGCTTCTATCATGCAAGAGCAGGACAGAGGAGTGAGCGCTGTCCAGGGGTCTTACACATGCTGGGAGCAGGGAGGAGGGGGAGCGGACTAAGCTTCCTGTTTCGCAGCCGTGACCTGGGTGGGTCTTGGAGCCTGAGCAGGAGTCTAGAACACAGAGCAGAGAGGGTGGTTTCCTACACTTCTCCTTGGACACTTCTCCTTGGAAAGGCCTGGCCCACAGCACAGCCTACTCAGCCAAGGCCCTCCCTCCTTGGGGCCCAGGCCTCCAGAAAGGAGCGGCGGGAGGGAAGTCAGCAGGTTTAGGAGACGGGGTGGGGGTGGGAGCCGCGGGTCTTACTCCTGCACGGGGCAGCCCATTCCGGTCCACCCTGCTTGGGCCCCCGGACCTGAGGCAGCCATGCCTTCTCCTAAACGGACGGCAGAAGCCAGTGCCCTGTGAGTCTCCCGGCCCTGGTCCTCTCGTTTAAACATATTTGGGAGGAGGAAGGGTTTAAGAAGCAGGGATTGGGGTCCTGGGGAGAAGTCCTTAGCAAGGCTACTCAGATGGTTCTCAGGAGGCCTGGGCTGCCTCAGCTAAAGGCAGTGATTAGTCAGACCCAAGCCAGGGAATTCAATAAAACCGGCTGCTCATTACCCAGCTGGGGACCCCCTGCCCGAGCAGCCGCGGGTCTGGGTTACATTACAGGGCTGTGTGAACTCTCCGCTCTGAGTGAGACGGCACCAGGCCTTGGAATAATTATGGGGCCTCAGCAGATGGTGGAGGCGGACGGACAGGGGAGGCCTTCAGCTGTGGGACACGTGACCCACTGGCATCTGTGCCGAGCAGAACATGGGAGGGTCCACGCTGAGCCCCGGGGGAGGCAGCACTGACTCGAGATCTGAGAGCTACGGGGCTGGCTGTGGTGGGGCATGGCCCACTGCCTCGGGCCAGGGGGGCCTCCGCTATACTCTTGCTTGAGCCAGGGGTCCTGCGGGTGGGACCCAGTCTCTGAAGCTGGAGTGCAGCATCTGAACGGCTCTACATGTTGAGAAGCAAGAATTGGAGACATGACTTTTGCTGTTCAGCCGAATTCTGGACACCCTCAAGCCTCAAATGCTTGCCTGGAAAGGTGGGCATCAAGGTGCTCAGTGGATTTCAGTCCCACGCCAGCCCCTCACCCTCTTGGAAGCTCCATGGTGCTTGGGTTGAGCACCGTGCAAGGAGTCAGGACTCCTGGGTTCTCGCTGTGGTCTGCCAGCAACCCAGTGAGCGACCGCCTCCACGTCCCCATCTGAGGCCCCTTTCAGCTCACTCCTCCGTGATTCCCTGTCCTGATTCTTCCTGCTTTGCCTTGATGGAGTTTGCTTTAAACGGCCCCTGGCAGCTCTGAGCCAAGACAAACACGGGAGGGGAGTTAGAAGGCTGTGGGGATGCGGACTGGTGTCAGCTCCGCAGCTCTGCTCTCCCGGGGGG